TTTTTCTTAAAAATGGTAATATTTTTTTATTATTTTTTATCCGATTTTTATAAAATTTATATCAAAATTTTTTATTTTTCATGATCTTTCAAATGAGACCAATATTGCCTATGTAATTTTAACATATTATCGAACTATATATCCTAGTAGCAGAATTATGTAACCCGTGTGTAAAAAAATATAACTCACGTTAAAAAGAAATGTTACTACTAGCAAGTCGAAATGTAACTTGTTTAAAACATTGATTTCAATGTAAACAATAAAAAAATGAGTCAATTTTTTTTAATTACTTTACCTAAATAGTGAATATGTTTTGTTTTTAATATTAAGACCATAAAATGTTTTAAAAAGTCATTTTTCCCCAAGCAATAATTTTTTGCAAAAAAATTGATTCAAAAACAGTTTTTTTTTTTGTTTTAATAAAAGGGGTTTATTTTGTGATGTAACTAGTGTTATGAAAAATGTAACTTGTGTTGATAGAAAATCTAACTTAGGTGTATGCAAAATATAATACTCCGTCTATGTTTTGTTTTTAATATCAGATCTATAAAAATGTTTTTTTATAAAAATAATTTTTTGAATATCAGCGCTAATTGTGTTGTGTAACTCGCATTATATTGTCATGTAACTCGCATTATGGGAAATGTAAATTACATGTAAGCGAGATGTAACTTGATGAAGAAAATTGACATGTAACTCGCGAATAACAAGATGTAACTCCGCATGTAAAGATATGTAACTTACATTATTGATCAATGTAACTCAAGCCCATTCGAAATGTAACTTGTTGGAAAATTGAACAATTTTTTTGTGTGTGTTTGAGAATAATATATATATCATAAACATTGATTTCAATGTAAACAATGAAAAAATTGATCCTAATAGCTTAATTACTTTTTTAAATAGTGAATATCTTTTATTTTTAATGTTAGGGCTATAAAAACGATATAGCAGGAGTTTATTCCGTGGTGTAACTCACATACATTAAGATGTAACTCGTGTATATTAAGATGTAACTTGTGCACGTTAAGATGTAACTTGCACAGAAGAAGTAAACAAACTCAATATCTTAAAAATCCCTAAAAACATATAAAAGTGATAAAAATGTGTGTGTGTGTGTGTATATATATATATATATATATATATATATATATATATATTTGTGTGTATATAATATTGGAGAAGATCAAATCAAATTTTAGCAATAATATATCAAAATCGATCACGTATGGGAATTCTCAGGTGATCGAAGTGCTGATCAAAGTGGGCGGTTGTAAGTGAAACTAGTTTAGTAGGATGGCTGGGCGAAGAAAAAAGACGCCGTTTTAATTAAGATGCTGCCGTTTTGGGATCGGCACACCATGTGCAAGGTGGGCCGATCCCACGGTATAATTTGCCTAAAAATATCAAAGCTTTGTAGCGGGTATGCTTTTTCAGGGATTTACGCCGTGACAAAAGAAAACGGTAAGATTTTTTTTCATTTTGTCAGGGATGGGTTCGCCGGCATATCTTGGGGAGACCAGCGGCATCTTGTCACTAAATTAATCCGTGACAAACTATTTCTGTGAGATGGTAAACTTTCCGTGACAAAATCTATGACAAAGTTGTCAGGGACGAAATCCGTGACAAAAATGCTACTTTTTTGTAGTGACCCCGGCTCAAGTCGGAAAGAAAGATTTGCTATCCAAATTGTGAAACTGTTAATCAAGTGAAATTGTTAGTATACATGCACATTTAAATTAAAAGTATAGTTTATAATAAATAAATGTAAAAATAAAATATTAATGATATCAAATTTATCATTTTTAAATAAATTGTTATTATTATTTGCAATGTAATCTGTAAAATGATTTTCAATAGATAAAAAAGTATATGACCGTGTACGTAGACACTTAGATCGATGTTATCTTTGGAACGGTTTTCAATCCCAGACTATATCATATTAGAGAAGACTATACCACGTCAGATCAGACCACACTAGAAAATATCCTTAATTACGTTTTCTACAGACGTAGGCACATACGTAAGGTGCCTAAGTATGTGACAAATTGATGATAAGGTGGCGTAGAATGCGTCCTTTTAAAATCATCTTAATACGTACGTTTGGTACTTTGGGGGCAAAAAAGACTAAGACGAGAAAGAGCAATTCAATTCAATATGAATAAAAAAAATAACTTTTCTAAAAAATCGTTTCTTCTCAAAATATAATTAAACTCAATCCAACATAAAAGATATACTTCCTCCATCCTGAAATAAAATTTCCGATTTGACCTACACATATTTACGTAAGATAGAGTTTTATTTTGATTTTCCATAAATACCCTTATTTTATGTGAAATCAAGCAAAGAGTAAGTAAAAACTAATCATACTTATGACTTCTTTGATTAAAAATTGTTTGCTTTTATAGAAATGTGAACTTCTTTTTGCATGTGACATTAATAAAAGAAAAGTGAGAATTTTTTTTTAACGGAAGTAGTATATTCTTAATTTTAACAATGTTTTTCTTCTATTTAGAGTATACTTTTTAAAAAATTTATGTGGATTAATAATAATTAAAGTAGCATTTTAGCATCCTTGTTTTTCGTTTGGGGATGAAGTAAAACATACGGCGCGCGGCTAGCTAGCAACGGGCTCTACTTTAATTATTTTCTTTGTGCCTGGAACACTTTACTGAAGTAAACCATTGCTACACTCTCTATTTAAATCGTAATATCACCTACATACCAGATAGTAGATAAATACATAATTAATCATAGAGATTTGTTATAAACGTGTAATTATATTACCGGCTAATAAAATGAATCGAAGATCCAAATCCGTTGTGTTTCTCCTCTTCCTCCGCCTCCTCCTTCTTCGTGTATCATTCTGCAATGTTGTTGGTGTTGCTGCTGGACGAAGACACTTGCTTGGTGTAGTTAATGCAGGTAGTAAATCAGGTTGGATTTTCGCGGCTATTATACTTGGTATATTTGGTATTTTAATGTGTTGTTTTGGACTCTGGCTTTGGACTAAAAGAAAAGGCAAGGGCTAAAAGTCCAATGAGATGGTGAGAGTATAACCGTATAAGTGTGTACCTATTCCAACGGGATCATTGCCCGTCACTGCAATGGTCCCGGCCGTCCCCGAGAGGCGACATCCATTGTGTTGCTATATTGCTTTTACTTTTATCCATTGTGTGACTATATATATATATAGTAGTTGTTGGTGCCACAGGTACAGATTTTTCCCTGATGATGGTGCAAATTAATAATTTTGTAACTCTTCCCAGCAATTATTCAAGTAGTACTTTATATGATGTTATTTATTATTACAAATTAACTACGTACTGTATGTTTGCAACCTTCCATCAATATTACTGAGTTATTTTTGTTCATGCAAAAAAAAAAGAGTTCGTGCTACTTGAAAGTATTCCATACACTACCAAAAAGCTTCCTTATTGGCATGGATTTTGAGATAACATAGAATTGAATCATCACATAATTCATGTATGGATGAGTTTTGTGTATATGAAACATGCAAAAATAATGAGATGTTACGAACTATAAATTTATAAAAGAGAACATTGTGGTAAACAAAGTTATAAGGGACGCCGGACAGAAAAATGTCATCGTACCCTCAAGATATTATTGTACATTGACTACGTTGATCAATTAGAATATTGCGCAATTTAATAATTTAAATATTTACAAATGATGAGATAATGACTTGGAGTACTAATCAAATGCATTGTAGAGATATGTACGATACCCTTATTATTTTTTAAAATAATGTATCACTCACCTTCTTTAAATACTGGAGAAAAATTCTCTAAATAGGACTAAAACAAGGATAAAGTTCCTATTGTGAGAAAATTTAATCAACTTATTCTCTTTTTATAGGAAAAAATAAGTCCTATTTGGTAAATAAAATATACTTAGTCCGACCTATTTTTTTAACTTTGTGCAAGTCTTAATCCTATTGAGCAAATTCTATAAATATTAATGTAAGATTAAATTCAAAGAAAATTGTGCCTTCAGTATCTTCAAGAGAATATTACCCGAAATAGGACTAAAACAGTTTGAAATTTCTAAAATAGGACTGCTATGATTTTATTACCAAAATAGGATTAATTACTACCATATTTTGGCAGTACCAGACTTCAAACATGACAGTATTTTCTAAACATGGCAGTAATTAGTCCTATTTTGGGAATAAAAAACATGACAGTTTTATTTTGGAATTTTGAAACTGTTTTAGTCTCATTTCAGAAACTTTCCCTCTCTTCAATAATTGGCACTCCACGGCGCGCTATTATATTTAGAAAATTAAGAAATGTGCATTTCCATATTGGAGCAAACAATATACAAAGCAATACACATGGTAGGTAAAAGACTAACAACGTGTTTACTTCATTGCCGGTTGTTATACCGTGGGAGCCACCCACAATAAGTATATATGGTGCTTCCAAAGTCAAAACACACGTGTACAGTAACTCATGTGAACAGTAACCTGACCTTTTTTTTGTTTTTTTCCATGTCCTACAGTCCTAGTAAGAGGGTGATATTAGGGATGGAATAAACCGGCCCAACCCGCTACTGTGCGGGCCCGAACCGGAGCGGGACTGGTTGGCCGGTTCCGGGCTTTTAGCCCGTTTGGGCAGGTCAGGCGGGCCGGGCCTGGGTCATTTTTTTTTTGTTTTTTCAATTTTTTTCTTTTCCTAGGGTAAGGCTGGGTGTTTTGGGGAGGTTTGGGGGTGGGGTGGGGGTGGGGGGGGGGGTCGGGGGATAACAAGAAAGCAAAAAAAATTAGACATTGAACCGGGCCCGGACCGATTAGGCCCGGACCCGGTATCAACCCGGGCCGGTTCCGGGCCCGAGTACTTGGGAAAAAAGCCCGGCCGGGCCCAGCCCGAAACCGGAACCGGCCCGGGTCCATCACTAGGTGATATAACTCGTTATAAAGAAATGTAATTTGCGTTAATAAGATACGTAAGTACAGCCAAATTGAATTATAACTTGTCTACTGAATATAAGAAAATTGAAAAAGTTGATACATACAAAATTAAATTAAGAAATTGAACCATTGAAAAAACTCATTGTGATCCATACGAAATTTGATACAATATATTTTTCATAAAAATTGCATCATAAACCTAAAAAGTCTAATCAGAAAGAAAAAATGAAATTTGATGTCATATAGCACGAAGAGAATAAAGGGGATGAATCATCCCGGATGATGTCACCTTTATCAATTCCTGTGAGAGTGATTAGTGTAAGACCAACTATTTTGCATCAGTGTACAAATTACAAAGTGATATTAATATTAATGCTAGCTACATACAAATCAAATCTCCTTCCTGGGTGAACATCTCACAAAAGGCACTTAACCATGTAAGGACCTTCTAACTCATATCCCAGTTTCCTGTAGTAGTGTCGGGTCCCTACGCCTGAAATGACAGCAATCTTTTTAGACCTATGCTCCTTACGAGCTATGCGCTCAGCCTCTTCCATGAGCAAGGTCCCATACCCCTGGTGCTGTAACTTGTCTGCATCACGCCCATGAACAGGAACCGCAGTCCCGTATACGTGGAGCTCCCGTACTATAGAACACCTCCCTGTTAATTCTGGACATGTCACGTTCTTTCCACATTTCCTCAGACGAAGTAAACCTACAAGTATATCCTGCATCCCATCCAAAAGGAAAGCGCAACATGAGATTTTCTCCCTTCAATTACCCTGTCTTCCACCCTATAGAGAACTATATGTAATACGGAGTACTTAAATTCGTTTTACATCCTAATAATTCTCAGACACATTTCCTCCCCTTCCATCCCAAAAAAGAGACTTGTTTCAGAAGCTTTTTAGTCCCCAAAAGAAAGTCCAGATAAAATTGAACTTCAATTTCAAGTAAAATTCAGGTAAAGGTAAGTGGCATGCGGATTGGGTCAATTGCTCCAAATAGCCATGGATATAAGTTTTAGGTGGACCAGGCGGATATGAGCCAAGCCGAGCCTAACCCTTCATAAGTTTGGTTGAAAGAGAACCTTTAAATATTAAATATTACTGTTAAAGATTGCATAGATGATTTTAGCCATGGATATAAGTTTTAGGTGGACCAGGCTGATATGAGCCAAGCCGAGCCTAACCCTTCATAAGTTTGGTTAAAAGAGAACCTTTAAATATTAAATTGGGAGAACTATCAAATAAGCCCTTGAACTTTCATAAAAAGTGCAAATAAGCACTTTTATAGGAGGCTCTGTCAGGCCGTCGCCATTTGGAGCGGTTTCCGGTGGAATTTTTTGATGAAATTTTTTGCGCATCTTCTTCATTAAGTCTAGTTTAGTCATACCAAATTTCAAATAAAAATTCAATCGTGAAAGCAGTCAAATGAATTTTAGGAGATAACTACGCATTTAGGCAGCGGAGTATATTTCAGAAAATCATTTGACTGTCTTCTCGATTGAATTTTTAGCTGAAATTTGGTATGGGTAAACTAGACTTAATGAAGAAGATGCTCAAAAAATTTCATCAAAATCTTCCACCGGGAAATGCCCCAAATGACGACAGCCGGACAAAGCCTACTGTAAAAGGGTTTATTTGCACTTTTTATGAAAGTTCGAGGGCTTATTTGATAGTTCTCCCATATTAAATTTTATTGTTAAAGATTGCATGGATGATTTTTTTCGTCAATCCCAAATTCCAAATCATATTGGTTCTGCATATGCCCATGATTGCACCTTGATCAATTTTACCTCAGTCAAACAATATTATTCATCCAGGCAGTGGGAATAATACCAGTGCACTATTTGATTTTAGGAGAAATTACATATTTGGTCCCTCAATTGTGTGATCTAGAACGTGTCCTCCAAAACGTGTAAACCCCAGCAATCCCTCAATTGTTACAACTGAGATAAAATTAGTCCCGCCCCTTAAAATCAATGTTCAGTATTCAGGTTCAAAGGGGCAATGCATAGAACTAATATGTAACAGTGTAAATCGATATTTTAACAAGGGACAAATTGTATGTAAGGTATAAAATTTGAGTGACTAAATCTAGCAAGATTGCAATACAGGTCCCCCAAATTACATAATGCAAAAACAGTTGGGGGGCTAAGGACCTGGTCTATTCCTTTTTATGTTTCCTACTTTCCTTGTTTTGGTCTGTGGAGTAGAAAGATGCAATGAGGAATGCAGAGAAAGGGACGAGTGAGAAGATTGACTTAAAGCAAACCTGTCGTGTATCTTCATATGAGAGAAATGTTTCCCAGCCCTCGTTTGCTGTATAGTCACGGCGAACAAGTTCCACTTCCTCGGGTTTTATTTTATTGTGAATGTCCTAATATCAGACACAAAAACAATGTTTACAAAATTAGGCAACTAAAACAAAAAAAAAAACTAAAATAAGGAAAATGGGTGGCACGCTTTTAGCACGCTTTTAGCAATCAGTCTCAAATAATTATAAATCTAGGGTATGTTTGGATCACAGAATTTGCTTGGTCAAGGGGAAAAACTGATATGAAAACTCATTTTCTTATGTTTGGTTTATCCTCGGTAAAGGTTAAGGAAAAATAAATATGACTTGTTTTTTTAAATAAAATATCACATATGTTTAAAATTCACCTTTAGATAACAGAAAGAAATAAATAAATAATGAGAGAGACAATATATGGAAAAAAATAGTTTGAACCAATAAAATTTTCCTCCCTGCACTTTCTCTTCATCCAAATTTCCCCCATATTTTGCTGATTATTATATTTGCCTATCATTTATCAAATTCGAAATGGACCTCCAAAGTCATAGTTAAAAATATTAGTCACCTGGATTCCAGCTTCACGTGTCCTAACATCTCGGCACTTCAAGCCAAGATCATCCATCCGAGCTAAGGCCAACTCACGAAGATTCCCCTTCTCAACTCCCGAAGTAACTAAAGGCATGGGAATGTCCCGCTGAACTCTATAAACACGCGTCCACGGTGGGACCAATGCGAGGATACGAGCAACAATGTCAACCAGCTGTTCAGGGGGGTAGTTTCTATATCTGCACGTCATGACAAACAAGTAAAGAACTTCATTATAAAAATAATAATCTCAAGAATTGCATATGGACATATGGCGAGAATAGTAGGTTAGTAGCAAGAGAAGTGATTTGGCGTCAATGATGTGAAAATATAAAGCCTCAAATAGTAAAATACATAAAAAGTGTCCCACAACAAGATTATTATAGAATAATAACACAAATTTTAGGGCATGAAATATTATATAATGAACTAATGAGTAGTCATACTTATACTCCCTCTATCCCAAAAAGATCTACCCACTTTTCTGGGCTACTTCAAAAAGTCCTTCCCCTTTCCATTTAAGGAAAGAAAGGTTATGTGGTTCTTAATAATTTTCCTTTCCAAATCTCTACCACATAACTTCACTTCCTAGAAACAGTGCAAAATTAGCAAAAACAACAAATTGCGCCAAGGGGAGTACTAATCTGTTAATTCTGAAACTACCAACGAATAACTGAAAACCATCTTTCCTGGTTTTCATAATTGTGTTTTGGCTTCCAAAGATAACATAAAACAGAAAGTAGAAAACAACAGAAAAAAGACACTCACCTTCCAGTTTTCCAGAGTTCATAAAGTCCAGTACCACGAATAACTAGCGTTGGATAAATTTTAAGCCCATCAGCTCTAAACTTAGGGCTTTCAAAAAATTCCTTGAAACTTTCCAAGTCTCTCTCAACCCCAACATTTGGAAGATCAGGCATCATATGAGCAACTACCTGAAGGGAATACCCCAAAAGTTAATAAAATGTACACCGTCGTAACAGCAAAAAAAAAAGTGTTGCCTTGAGATTGAATTTGGTCCACGTGTAGAAAATAAGTGATGAACAAGATAGAGCGATAAAAGTAAGTGCCTTGAAACCAGCATCCTTTGCTAGGCAAAAGCAATCAGCTACAGCTGCTACTGTGTGACCTCTGTTGGTATCTCGAGCAACATCTTCATATGTGCTTTGCACACCAATTTCCAAACGTGTGCAGCCATAATACAGCATCTGCCTTAAATGTGGTCCAAGGCAGTAATCTGGCCTCCTAAAATTCAAATAAAGAATGTTGAAAAAACTTCAACTGCAATTAGGGCTTTAAATGAAATGAAATATAGTGTTGAATTTCCTGAAAGGAAAGGCATTTGGTAACAGAGGCGGAACCAGAACAATATTTGAGGGGGGGGGGGGGCTCAGAAATACATCAAAACTCAAAAGTTTCTTTCTCCGTGTACATCACCATAGTATACTTCAACCACAGAAATTTGTCAAACCAAGCTAGTTTTAAACATCAATTGTCTTTACTGTACGCTTTTTTGGGGGGGTAAACATGACCAAACAGTCTACAAGGATCTCTAATTAAAGAGTCATAGTCATGGATAGGTTTACGCAAACCTAGATCACCCACAATATCATTTGGATCGAATTCCACATGAGAACATTTTTATCTATTGCTTTCTTCGTTACCTTGTCTAGATGACCAACTACCCCATGTTACAAATTGTAATATAGACATAGGTAACCTAACAAATTAAAAAAATATAATATACGGAGTAATAAGTTTCAAATTATGAAATTATAAAATGTAAAATTCACACATGACACATATTTTTGTGAATAATAGTCATTCTTATTTATTTAGGTTATTTAAGCTACTAAATTAGTTTAAGCCTAATTACTAAATCAGTATAAGCCTAATTGCTAAATTTCTAAAAGCATAAAGCACTTAACAATTCAATAAAAAATAATTTATACCCCCATTCCCCAATGGCCTAATCCACTAAGCCATATAGCATAAGCACAACACATCAATTCAAATTTTGAATGAAAGTTACTTAGTCAACAACTCAATAAGTCAAGAAACCTAAAAAAGCCAAAAAAAACACCCCCTTAATCGTTGCCTGCCTCACAGGCTCACAGCCTCGGCACTCCCTGCGGCCCTGCGTCTCTTCTCGCCAAACCCTTGCTCTCGCCGACGTTCATGGCTTAAAGTGTCCAAGCGCACTGCTACCCAACCCCAATTCGGCTAATCCCCTAGTTGCTCCTTTCAGGTTTTACTGCTTCATTTTACTCATTTTAACTCTTTAATTTAATTTTCTAAAATCATTCGGGGTATCTTAATCACAGGCCCAAGTCCCCAACTGCCCATTTATCTTCTAAAGTTTGACTGTTGGGCGACGTCGTTTTCTAATTTGTTTCATTTAACCAAACGATGCCATTTGGAACTTCAATTTAAGAAAAAAAAACAGCAGCTGGAAAGTCATAAGAAACAACTATCCCGTCGATGAACACAGCTGTCATGCCGATACAGAAGGGGCGAAGGTAGAAGAAGACCCGGGGCACCATGAAATTTATACATATATTCAATAATATATGTATAAATTTCCGGCGAGGGGGGGGGGGGGGGGCACCGGCTCGCTCCCCCTGGTTCCGCAGCTGTTTGGTAATATCCCACTTCTACTAAATAAGTTAAACAAGCTATTCATTCACTTATTATAGTATTTTGTTAGCATGATGATAAGCAAAAATATGTCAGAAATGGCTACCAAATGTAGCCAGAACTTAAAACTCATCTTTATACATCAACTTATAATGATCTTAGTACACACTCATATGAAAGCTTTTACAGGTAAGAAAGAATTAATTCCGCTGGTAGCATTCTAACAAGTAAATCACTTGTATGACATTAATTACTACACTTGATAATTAATTATTAACATGGCCATGAACTATTTATAATAGTTACTCACGTTTCAATAGTCATTCCAATACATTTGACAGAACTGTGCTCTGAGTAAGCAACAGCCTCTTCAACATTGGCAGAAGTATGCCCTGATAAAGCATCATGGAGGTTCCTGATAAAATAGTCTCTATAGTCTGCTGGCAATGACATAAAAGTACCTCCCATTAAGATGAATTCTACCTGCAAAAATAAGTATTCCAAAATAATGATAATGATAAAATGGTACAAGGGTAACATAAATATGTGTGAATAGCATTTATTATAAGATGGGCAAACCTTGTCAACATTGTGACCCAATCTCTTAAGTTGATCGATCCTGCTTCTAGCCTGGACATAGGGATTATACCTGCACTAATCCTTAGAAAATCAATGTACTCAACATGACCTGATAACCATAATGCATTCCCCCCAGCCTCACTTATAATCCCCAAATAGGCAAATAACCAGATCTTTCATTCAATCATTTATCCCAGGTGTGGTGGACATAAAAGATATGGCAATTTGCTATCAACAGTTAAAAGGGCATAAAGAGAGAGAAACGGGGTGATACTAAACAGGGAAAAGGAACATGCTTTGAAGCATGATTGTTAACTTGTTATGCGAGTGATAACTTGCTCAGCTATATATTATTCATGTCCTCTTAAACCTACTATTCCAACTACATGATCAGTGTGTATGACAGTGCATTGTCGGGGAGTTCGGTTGTGACTTATGATGCTGAAAGAGTGCAAACACCTAACTTTAGCTTTATATAACCCGATTGCATTAAACAGATTACTTTTTTCCCATTTTTTATATAAGCAAGAAGACAGCGTTTAATGTTTAGAATTACAAAGCCAGTCATACAATATATAGGGAATGATACAACAAAGACTAAACGTCGTATTTATGACTTATGCGAACTAAAAATGATTTTTTAAGATAGAGGGAAGATGAGTTTTAGGCAAAGATTGCTATATCTTAGTTTCAATTTTACTGCAAATAAACAACCTAATTCACCAAAAAAGTGAGATAAATAATAGCAAATGGTCATTGCCAATTGTAAAGCACTAGGGTTTTGGGTTTAAACCAAATTTGAATTAATGCAACGCTTACCTAGCTCGAATTGCTCTCATACTGGTCGGCTCATAGCCTGTATACGATTGAGTACTATACTCAAAATCCGAATCTGGCCCGCCGGGGCAATAAACGCATATATTTCCAGTGGTAGCTATGTGAGGGCACCGGTGGGGCTTTGACATGACGGCCACTACAGCAATACCGGAAGCCGTACGTACAGGCTTGGCACGGAGTTTCGGGAGTAATGCTTCACGCTCTGTCTCCGGCAACGCCGCAATCATCTCTACTAGCTTGGGAGCCCGTGAGAGTCCATACTTTCTGCAAGCTGCTGACTTCAGAGCATTGAGGTCCACATCCTTGCCCCTACGGGAAAGATCCACCATGTTGTTGACGATCTCGGCTATAGCTCGGACTCGAGCCTCCTCCTCCGACATCCCTTGGGACACCACGCCGCCCCTTCCAGGACGAGGGAGTTTCCTCGCCTCACTTACCGCCACCGTCGCCATGAAAGATCACGCTTAACGATCAACGGGAAACGCTGGTGTCCTGAGGCAATGCAGGACTAGGTTCGTTTTTTCACTGATTTCAGATTAGGTTTGAAGCTCGTTAATATCAAATAATCTCGGCTATAGCTCGGACTCGTTTTTTCATACCAAAAAAAATAATTCAATTTGGTTTTGTTGTATTTGATTTGATTCGAATTTGTCACATTTTCAAAAACATTGCCTGGTTTCAGACTCTTGATTGATTTTTAAATATGATTTAATCAAATAGGCTTTATCAAAAAAATTCAATCGAACATATCAAATTTAATAACACACTCAAATTGTTTTTCTTTTTCATTCAAAAAAACATGGAGCCTATGAGTATTCGTGTATCCATCATGACATCAACATAGGTATGTCTTTGATGATATAGAACTAAATGTTTGTATTATTTATATTGAATCATCAAGGGTTTGTCGAATGGATCTCCTCATCTTTAGAACTTCGTAATGAATGATAGAAATTACATTTTCAGAGAATGAACAGTGAAAACTCTTCATTAACCCACTCAGTTGAATCCCCAAAAATCAAAATATCTAAAACACTATTTTTTGACAAAAAGTAACCAATGGTAATGACTTTTAGTTAGTGTTGGACTCGGGTTGGGGCACCCGGCCCGTGGACCGGCCCGGCCCGCTGCTGTGCGGGACCGGGACCGGCCCGGTTCTCGGGTCCCGGTCCCGGTCCCGGTCGGGCCTAGGCCCGGGGATAGGGCGGGTCCGGGCTCGGGTCTCACATTTGGCAAATCGGCCCGGCCGGGTCGGGGCCGGGCCAAATTGAATTATTTTTTTCATTTTTGAGGTTCCACCCGGGTTGGGCTTGATGGTTAGGATGGGGTTGGGGGGTTGGGAGGGTGGGGGTGGGGGGTAGGAAAGCAAAAAAAAATACCCAAATCGGAGGCCCCGGCCGGTCTCGGGTCCACCTTTCCTGAACCGCCGGCCTGCCCGGGCCTAGGCCCGACCCGGCCCGGACCCGAGTCCACCCCTACTTTTAGTGGGATTCACCAGGCATAGTAATTATTTTACTTTTCCAAGGTAATGTGGCATATTTTCACCCGCACACTACGGCTGACAAAATCCATTAGGACACGCCAAGCCCATAAAATCTGCACTTTATTTACAAAAATCTCTGGACGAAAAATTGCTTCCATCCACTATGATTTAATTGATCTCAGTTCATCCTTTACAAAAATAATTTATCTGAAATCCTATTAAGCGAATCACAAATGCTATTCAAATTTGTACATTTCCAAATTTGAATACAGGAAATATAGTTCAGTGGTGACAAATATCCAAACAACCCTACTTAATGGATGTAAATTTTTAGTCAACCAAGTCGTACAAATATACAAATTAGTCAACATTAGTTTTAGTTTACACTTCCATGCCCTCACTTAGGAAAGCTATGTAAAATAATTATTCAGTTCTGTCCAGGGGTAAAACAGTGATAAGTGCCCTCTAAAAATTTTATTTTCAGAAGTTATTATCTATTAAAATCTGGGGTAGGGAAAGAACACTCTAACTAAATAAGTTACGCTGCATAACATATTTGAAAACATTCATTGGATGTATTTTCCAACGCATGCATATTATATTTGAACACTCTAACTATTTAGTATTATTAGCAAAATTGTATTAGAATACATGTCAAATACCAAATAAAACTTCAGGACATGACAAAAACAATTGTATTATCAGAAAAATTCTTATTTGAATTGCCAAAGTGAAACAAATTGCCCCACACAACCCAGGCATTCAGGGAGCGGTGATATTGGGTATAATATTTCATAGGAATTTTCGCATTTTCTTTTTGCATACAACATGTGTTTGACCATAATTTAGCCTGATTTAAAATAAATTACCAGTGGAATTAATATAAGTTTAATATTAATACATTTGAAGCTCACATTGAATTGTAATTTAAACAATTTCTTACACAACTTTTTCTGTGAAAACTTGCAGGTCTTTGTTTAATGCTTAGAGGGATTGACAAATGCCTAGGATACTTAGTATCAATTTAATTGTAATTTCAATTTGTGATGTATGTAATAATAGATATAGGGTAGATTTAGGACATGGCAAGTTCCGGGTGAGACTCCAGGTACGCTTTTTTACGCCATGCTTAATTTTGAATTTCTCCGTATGATTCTGAACATTTACCCATGTACACTCGATATATGCATTTACAAACGATATATGGTCCTGAACTTAAAACGTATAAAATAGACAACAATTTTTCCAAAAAATGATTTACCCAAAAGTGCTTGAACTCATTTGAAATCCGATAACAAAATTCAAAAGAGACTACTTTCAATGGCGCTTCCATTTTATTAACAAACCTCGGGTTTTTTCAAAAACCCTACGATGAGTTTTCATTGAAAACCAAATATTGAGTGTTGAGCTGATATGTTTTTGCATAGACAATCTTTCAAAAGTTATACATTGACGTAATCCTTTTTAAAGCCTATGCATGAAACCCTTGATACCCGTAGCTTCCCATCCGCATTATATAGCACTAAATGACTATTCAGTGCTAACTGGATATTATTTACTTTCATTACTCAACTCCATCAGTTTAAATCAACGCATGCATGTAAATGTTCCACGTAGACTACGTATTTTCGATCTTCATTAGCAAAATTGAACTTATCCTGTGTTGAAGCCGATACATGCCATCCTTCATACCCAGAAACTCTTAGCTCCATTGTATTTATACATGGACGCAAGAACATGCATGGTAGACAGCTATGGCCATTCAGCGTTAATCGGGTAACGTGAGAAAATATAGATTCAACTTTTAGGAGCCCCTATAAGGCAGTTACTATACATGTGTTTTCCAAAAGCGCATGATACTAAGTCCCGAACTCCCAAAAATCATTCAAACAATATACGAAAACCCCCGAATAGGCTGAAGATTTTCTCCAAAATTTTAGAACACACTGTAAGAATGATACACTTCTTCGACAAAAACAATATATTAAAATGCATCTTCAATAAACAACTAACAGCAGTAGTTGAACCATAAGCTGCTGATACACTTTGACAAAGTACATGACATGGAAATAAACATACAGTGTTAGTTGGCGCAGTGGTAGCAGAACCATAAGCTACTGCTGACCACTTTTACAAAATGCACAACACTTCAGGAACTCATAGTAGCCGAGTCCCAGGCATAAACAATCCCAAAAAGCAAAAAGTAGGCAACACCAAAAATACCTTAGGAGTCAATGGTACGGTAGATGTTTTGCCTACATAGTTGACACTTGATCTAAAACACTAAGCAGTTATTACTGTTAGGGATGTACTAAACCAGACAGGACCGGACCGGAACCGGAACCTTAAATTTATGAGGACCGAAGACCAGACCTGTTACTAACCGATCCAGACCGACCCAGACCTGAATTTTCTGGTCCGGTCCGATTTTGACCCTAATTGACCCGGTTTTTTAAACACACATAATATCATACATTGGCTAAAAACTAAATTGCTTGATTGCAATAATTATTAGTAGCAGAATGTAATATTACTTAACTAAATTATACTTCACACAATTCTTTTAAAATATAAGATAAGGAACATTGTGGCTGCAATATAAGAGAGAAAATAACCAGAATAATTACAAGGAAAAAACACTATTGATGCATATGCTAGGACTAAAACTTGAAGTTGAATTAAGGGAAAATTTTGTTTTTGGAAAAGTTAACTTCTGTTTTATTTAAGATAAAAAAAGACATCTTTTTCCATGCTTCTAACAACATATGTAGCTTCTATGTTGTTATTTATTAACTCCATAACAGAATCAATACAAGGTTGTCTTTTATGATTTTTTTGAAAAACTAATTTAACGGGCCACGGGTCCGAGCTTGTATTTTTCCGGGTTTGACCCAGACCGGAACCCGGATTCTTAAAATATTAAAGACCGAAACCCAGACCCGTTAATACCGAACCGGTCCGAACCGATCCATTCCGATCTGGTTCAGGTCCAAATTATGGTCCGGCCCGGTTAAAGAACACCCCTAATTACTGCCGTAACAAAACATATATCATAATCATGTTAATCAATACTCCCCAGATTTATGAGCTTCTTCACTGCTTTTCAATCTTCACCGCCTTGAGTTTCTTCATTGAAGTTGATGCAGAAAAATCTCCAAATAAGTCACGTTTAACCCGCTCAACGTTGACATCCAAAACCTGCATTTTCTCCTTGCACATAAGTGGGCTAGACACTGCGGTCTATGAGGATCCAGCCTGAAATTCAAAGACATGATGACTCTCTAAACAAACCCCTGCTTTGAAAAGAAAAACGTATGACTAAAGTTAATAAACCAAACTACCTTTTCAGACCCAGAACATTGTGAAGCCAACCTGCTGAACTCGTCTTCCTCCTAATAAAAGCAAAGAATAATCAGTTAACCGTAACATAAAATTTACTCACATAATACCCAAAAATATATACGTACCTCTGTTCCGTTAATCTTCGCAGAGTAAAGTGCCAGGACCTTTGGGTCCGTGTTCATCTTCATCACGCTGAAAGTTTGGTTTCCCTTAAAGTTTCTGCTCTCTCTTTTGAACTGGACCCGAAACAATGCCTTGATGTCGATCAGAGAATTTATCTCTGACGGAAAGTGATGCGGACCAAAGTTCCTCTACAACGATCGTAAGCGTTAGTGTTTTGTAGTATGAATATTAAGATAGAAAGAAATAGAAAAAACAAACCCTAGTTATCTGTTCTTTGAGCGAAGTGGCAGACTTGCCCAACAAACAGGAGACCTCTCTATCCCAAAGCAAGAAGGAAGCATGGCTTGTGCCATCAACAACCCTCACATTGACCTTGTACCTTCAAATGTTAGGTAATGTGGTGTTTAGCAAGTGTAGACTATATAACGTTAAGAGTTAATTTACTATAGTAAATTAAGACCTGAGAACTGCATCATTAGAACTGCAAGCCGCGCACCAAAAGCTATCACCATTGGGTGAAACCTTCCGGTTACAACCAATGCATGAAACGTAAGACCAATCCTTAAAGTTGTCGACGGCCACGGTTTCCCCATACACCCAGTGCTCACCATCCTGTTTATCATCCAAATAAGCCGGAATATAGAACGTATAGGTGTTTCTTCAACTGCAAAGATAACACTAAAATCAAACCTCCTGCAGTTTGTTGAGTTCTTCAATAGTCAACAACTCCTGCTGCCCACTCACAATGTCACCATCGTTGGAGTTGTCTGATGTAATTGTGAAGCTTAATCCTTGAACTGACCTTTCACCCATCATGTTTAAGGTTTTTTGCAATAGGATAAACAGCTATGTATATTTTATTTTTAGGTTCAAGAAAATGATATGTCCTCCACCTTCTTACCTAGACCTGAATTCACCAAATTCATCCTCGCTTCCATTCAAAATGACTTTAGTGGTGTTAAACATGTTTGAGATATGAACGTGGCCTAAAAAAAATAACTAAGTTATCTACTTGAAGAAGATCAGCCGATTAGAGGGTTATAAGACCTTAGAAAAAACCTTGGTACTTCCTAGCCCGGCAGCACTGGAGCAGCATTATGATCGGATCCAACGTTGTAAGCTTGTATGTCAACAGCATTTCAACCATTGGTCCCCAAAGAGTACATGCTATGATGTTTCCTCTATGAAGAAATTGCATTAAAATCTTTTAATTATTTTAATGCACATTTAAAAATTATTTGAAAGCAACTGTTAACGCACTCCGTGTCACCCAAAATCAACTCCATAAGCTTCCTCGGCCTTTCATTCTTAAGAATAGTCTTAGGGTCCTTGTCATGTACCACTTGGCCAATTATATCTTTAGGTAAACACTGAATTAGATCACATTATATCAAAACGTGTTCCATATAATAAAATACAAACTTGAGTGCGCACCAATTCTGTATTGCTCATCAATGGTGTCCAGAGCTTGTAGAGAAGCAAACGACACAAGCGAGAAAGTCCTTGACAGAAAGGGAACACCCTTGATCTCAAATGCAGCACTTTTGTTGAAGAAACAAAGTCTATAAGCACTGGTTGTAGTTTTAAAAAACATGTAATTTTCCTCAACCATGATGTTTTTTACCGCGAAAACACGTCCTTCCTTGAAAATACCAATAAACGTGTTGATGTATTGGTCAGGAATGTGTGCATGCATTTTGGATCCCTGAAATTTTAAATGTTTAACACATAAAAATGGAAATTATGTAACGTGTGTGAGATTTTAAACTAAGTACATGGTCAACATATCTGTTCAAATCCAGAAAATGGAACAAAGAGAACTTTAAGTTTTTTTCACCATATGAGCATCCTGATGCCATTTACATAACATACGAAAATTGTGTCATTTCATACATTTTCTCCCTAAAAGTTTCATCACAACACATCCCTACATTTTAGGTTAAAATTGGAAAAGCAAACGGTAATTGATCATGAAAAACAGTACATCCGTTTTAACTTTGAAATCCAATTTGTTAGAGGGAACGACTTTAAAGCGCACACGTGGATGACACCCAATCAAAGATATACAAACCTCCTCATCATGAAACACAATCTCTAATGACTCCGGAAAGCAGTCGTGTGCCGGCTCTCGGTACACATGAATGGCTCTCGCTTTGAATGCCCATGTGGTCTTGCTCTGGTCTATCTCACGGAATAAAGACCACATGCCAACCATCTTAAGATTTTTTGCTTCTGATTTTTTTTGCTTTGGTAGAGCTCAAATGTGGTGATACTGGCCATCGTTTCTTGCGAATATATAGAAGTGCAGATTAGGGTAGAAACTGAAGCCACACTCTGTTAGCCTCCTAATGGACCAATAGGAAAGGCTACTAAAATGAGAGGGAACACTGCTCAGTCACAATTCAAATTTCAAATTTTAAATGGTGACACACAAAAAACAGGTCGGATAAGAGCAACGGAAAATCCAATTCAAATCCTAACAATAGCTCTAAACCATATCATACACAGTGAGTGGGAACTCTGGTAGCTGGGATCTCAAAATGGATTACATATCTTAAAAAACCGTTCCACCAAAATGTTGGAAATATGACGAAATATTCTTGGGGTCTCACTTATGAGTCCTAAAGTGTACATGTATAAAATAAGAATTGGGAATATTATTTTTACATCAAAGTACAACCATAATATATGGACTTGTTTCAGTAAGAATCCATAGTTGTAATGGTTGTAAATGTGACGTATTAATATGAAGAATATTTTGTCCGTTTTAGAAATAAATTATCTCTTATAATATGATAAGGAACATTGTTCAAAGATCATATAAAGGATTCAAAATGATTAAGCAAATGAGTCGGCTTTGGAGACTATTTGATTTCAGGACAAAATTATATTCTTAGAATTTGGATGGATGGACATTTCATTTTAATTACATCCGTATGTAATTTAATGTAATTAATAATTTGAAATTTTGAATTTCAAAATTATTAAGAAGACAGCAGGTCAAGTTGAGAGAGTTATTGATGAAACTGAAAAGTTATGGCTATACTAATTGGTATCATAACTGCTTCTCCGACCTGCCTGTCCATGTACATCCAAAAACCCTTTCTTTTATTTATACTAGAACATATGTATATATAAGGTGTGCCTGATTTCCGAAAACAAGCAGAAGAGATAACCCACTACATGCTCTATCCATTTTGATCTTGCCTAACCCACAAAGAAAATCACCTGCGAATTTTTTTTTTCCTCTTAGTGCGAAGACAACTTTCTGTCTGCACTCTTCTTGTCTTCAAGGAATTTAATTCCTTTGTGTCGAGAGCATATAATCCATAGTTCTTTCATCCTTTTTTTTTTCTTTCAAAGGCAAACCGGGCAACGGTCAAAGGTTTCAGTCAAGGTAGCTACAAGTCTGAAACGGAGTAGGATTATCCTGGGAGCGAGCTAGCCAGACCCGTCCGAATAGCTATCAGGATACGGGGGCTATCTTTCTTCAAGGCCAGTCCGTTTTAACGGGCGATCCTGCGATAAGTTCTTCTTATCTTTTCTTTATTCCTTTTTTCACTTATTCTAATTATTATTATTATTATTTTTTCTGTTCTTGCATTTGGTGGTTTGTCTGGTGATTTGTATAAACTCGGGATTTTTATCTGGTTAAAACTCGCACTTATAATATCATTTTACTAACAATCTTGAAGAAAGATATTATTTCTCGAGTTTTGGAAAATCAAAAAAAAAAATGGCAAACTTGGAAAATGCTGTTATTTCCGAAAATGTTGTTGAGAATGATGTGAATGATATCCCTCAAAATAATGTAAATTCTGTGTCTGTGACTAACTGTGGAGACACATCTGAATATGTTGCTACGGGCTCGCACAGGGTTGATTTAACCGGAATGCCGGAAAAATTTTCTGGGCATTTTTTCAAGCGTTGGCAACAACGCATGAAAATTTGGTTAATCACCAAGGGCTTGCTCTCGGTAATTATGACGGTGTGTCCCCCCGTTGTTGAATCGGATCCCAAAAGTCTTGAACGCCAAGCTTCATGGCGTGAGAGGGATGAAATTGCAAAAGGCATGATTTTGTTGGGTCTCTCCAACATGTTATTTGATGTCTATTGCACCCTCCACGGCACGGCTAAGGACCTTTGGGATGAGTTGGATAGGAAATATAATACTGAGGACCACGGTCTTGAAAAATATATTGTTTCTAAATTCCTACGATTTGACATGAAAGAAGGTAAATCGGTGTTAGAACAGACACAAGAATTTGAGCTCATCTTACATTCTCTTCGTGAAGCGGATATGGAATTGCCTGAAAAATTTAAAGTGATGGCGGTCATAGAAAAATTTCCCAAATCTTGGGAAGATTTTGGTATGACTTTAAAACATAAAATGAAAAAGATCACTTGGAAATCTTTGATGCATTCCATTACTGTTGAGGAGGAACATAAGAAAGCGGGTTATATTGCGCCTGTTGAATTTCAACCGAAGGCTCATGTTATAACTGGGGGGAAGCAAGCACATAACTCTAAAAATAAGCAACCATCATCTTTTAAACCAATAAAGGCCAAATTAAAAATTACAAAGAAACCAAAAGCAAACCGTCCATGCTGGAACTGTGGACAGATGGGGCATTGGGCCAAATTGTGCCCAAATAAAAAGGCTAAGGCTCAATCTGGTGGACCTCAAGTCAACATGGTGACTGGAGGAACTAGTTCCGATGGGTATGTTTCTTTTAACCCTCAAGTTTTCACTATTTATAATTCCAATGAGTGGCTAATAGATACAGGAGCGAATGTGCATGTATGTGCTGATAAATCGCTCTTTGTTTCTTATCAGCCTGCGGTTGGAAGAACAGTGATGATGGGAAACACAAGTGCTGCTAGTGTGCATGGAGTTGGAAAAGTAGAAATAAAATTCCCTTCGGGGAAAATTCTTACTTTGCATAGAGTGCATCACGTTCCCGAAATTAGAAGGAACATTGTTAGTGGTTCCATTCTAGTTAGGGAGGGATATGAATTGTCTTTTAAATTAAATAAAGTTGTAATTTTATTTGGTGGACTTTTTATTGGCAAGGGTTACTTGTCAGATGGACTTTTTAAGATTGTGGTTGATTATTTGGAATTAAATTATATATCTGAGAATTGTGATTCTTCTTGTTTATGGCATTGTCGTTTGGGTCACGTTAATTTAGATTCTGTAAAAAGAATGATGAATTTAAATTTAATCCCTAAACACTCTATTGATAAAACTAAGAAATGTATGGTATGTGCTACAACTAAACAAGTAAGAAAACCTTATCACTCAATTGATAGAAATTCAGAATTACTTGATTTAATTCATACCGACATTTGTGAGTTTAATGGAGTGCTTACTCGTGACCAAAAGAAATACCTTATCACTTTTATTGATGATTATTCTAAATATTGCTATGTGTATCTACTTAAGGGTAAAGATGAAGCTCTTGAAAAATTCTTAATTTTTAAGAATGAAATAGAGAATCAAACTGGCAAGAAAATTAAAAGGTTAAGATCTGATAGGGGAGGAGAATATACTTCTAATTTAGTTGTACTAGAATGCCAAAAATATGGTATAGTACATGAAGAAACACCTCCTTATTCACCACAATCAAATGGAGTAGCTGAACGGAAAAATAGAACTTTTAAAGATATGATTAACAGTTTATTAGAGAATTCTGGATTACCAAAGTTTATGTGGGGGGAAGCCTTGAATACTGCATGCCATATTCTGAATAGAATTCCCATGAAACATAAAGATAAGTGTCCATTTGAACTCTTGACGGGCCGAAAACCAAGTTTGAAATATTTTAAAGTGTGGGGCTGTCTTGCAAAAGTTTTAGTCCCTGAACACAAAAGAAAGAAACTTGGGCCTAAAACTGTTGATGCTATTTTTATTGGTTATGTTGAACATTCTTATGCATTGAGATTTTTGGTTATTAAATCTGAAATTTCTGGCATAGATGTCAATACTATTGTAGAACTTCGTGATGCTACTTTCTTTGAAGATGTTTTTCCAATGAAAACGGGTGTGCCCCAAAATACTTCTTTTAAAAATCAAGAAACCACATTTAACTCAATTCCTGATCAAGTGGAAAAGATGACAAATGTGGGGGTAGAATCTAGTAATTCTAGTCATGTTGATTTTGAATCAAATGATCTGGATGAGCCAAGACGGAGCAAACGTGCTAGGATCACTAAGGATTTTGGAAGTGATTTTATCACTTACAATATTGAGGGTGATCCAATTTCCTTTAGAGATGCAATGGCCACATCCGAGGCTATTTATTGGAAGGATGCCATTAAAAGTGAAATGGACTCGATTGTTCAAAATGGAACATGGGAGCTCGTTGACCTTCCTCCTGGTTGTACCACTATTGGATGTAAATGGATTTTTAAAAAGAAGTTAAAACCGGATGGAACCATTGATAAATATAAGGCCAGATTAGTTGCTAAGGGTTATAAACAAAAAGAAGGTATTGATTTTTTCGATACATATGCTCCTGTTGCAAGAATGACCACGATAAGAATGCTCATAGCATTGGCCTCCGTATACGGTCTTAAAATTCATCAAATGGATGTTAAGACAGCTTTTCTTCATGGTGACCTTGAAGAAGAAATTTATATGGATCAGCCTGAGGGATTTGTGGCAAAAGGCAATGAGAGAAAAGTTTGTAAATTAGTTAAGTCCTTATACGGACTTAAGCAAGCCCCTAAGCAATGGAACGAAAAATTTGATAAAATAATTTCTTCGTTTGGATTTACTCTTATAGATGCTGATCAAAGCGTTTATTATAAATGTAAAGGTGATATAAGTATTATTTTATGCCTATATGTTGATGATATATTATTATTTGGTGCTAATGATAATATTATTTTTGAGACTAAGTCATTTTTGAAAACTAAGTTTGAAATGAAGGATATGGGGGTGGCTGAAGTAATTCTTGGACTAAAGTTGATTAGATCAACTGAAGGCATTTCTATTTCTCAGTCACATTATATTGAAAAATTAATTGAGAAATTTGGATTTAAAAATAGTAGAATTGCTAAAACACCTTATGATCCTTCAGTAGCTTTGTATAAAAATGAAAGTGGTGTTCCTGTGTCTCAATTAAGATATTCTCAGATGATTGGTAGCTTGGGTCACTTAGCTAACTGTACTAGACCTGATATTGCATTTTCAATGTCTAAACTGAGTCGGTACACTTGTTGTCCAAACAGAACTCATTGGGAGGCCTTAAATAGAGTATTTAGATACTTGAAAGGAAATATTTCCTTGTGTTTGCATTATG